CTCCTCACCCGATGACGCGTGGGAGGAGGAGGGCAAAGCGCAGCTGCGGTGCGACCTCGCTCGCTGGATGTGCGGGCCCCGGCGTGGCCGCTTCCTCCACGATCTACTGCTTGTACCTAGGTACGACCCCACGCTCGACTGCTACTTTGACCCGCTGACGTCGAAGTATTACGAGCTCAACCTGGCAGGCCCAGGCGCAGCTGCCGCAACTCCGCGGCGGCACCAATGACAGAGAGCACAATCCATCCAGGATCTGTATCTCTCGTCATATACGGCTTTAGAGCCGTATGTCCGCGCACTATGTCAAAACTACAGGGGTAGGCAATGAAACGGAGCTTTGCGCCCTTTCCCACCCGCCGGGGGGGCACCCAGGCCGGCCACCTGATCGGTAGTGGTGGACGGGAGGCGCGAACAGCGCCATCTTGGGGTCTACACGCCGACCAGTGCTCCCGTCAGTGACCAGGAAGAGGGGCTGCGTGGCCTTCTCAGCCGCCGGCCGCGCGTCCGTGTGGTCTACAGTTAACGAACCACGAGCCCTGCTTCCGTTTTAACACAAATTGGGTGGCGAACTCGGCGCCCATAGCTCTGGCTCGAGTTTTAGCGATTATGTCGCGAAACGCATTAGCCGCTACATCGAAATTGCCGAGGTAGCCGAAATCACAGCTTCCGCTGTAGCGGCTAATGCGTTCTCCGAGGTCATGATCGTGGGCGGAAAACGAACCGGCACCCCGGCGGGGCACCTTACGGGCTGTGTTAAAACGAGAGCTAAGGTCCCGATTTCACAGTGGGCCGCAGGAAAAGACACGCGATGAACCCGCACCCATCGAGCTAGCTTCGAGGCGCCTTCAAAGCAGGTCGCAATGGCGCCGAAGAAGAAGCCTGCACACGGCCGCAAGGCCAAGGGCGTCATGCAAGGCGCTCATCGTCCTCCAAAGGAGGTCTCTGGTGCAGCCGGCTCGCGCGGTCCGTCTGAGCCCTCGTCACGATCGGAAGCACCACAATACGAGGCTGTCGGCGGCGAGTGGGTGGTGTGCCAAAAGCAGACGCGCAGTCAGCGAGCTGAAGCCGCTCAAAAGGCCTCTCGCGCGTCTACCGTCCAAAAGGCGCGGCTGCCCGCCGCAGCCGCCGCCTCCAAGGCTGGGCAGACCGCCTCCGCTTGCGTTCGCCAACCCGGCTACGGCAAAGGTCGGTCACCCGCGACCGCCACAGGCGCCAGGACGGCGCAGCGGCCTCGCCTTGAGGACTCGCAGCTGACTAGCGCCGCTGGCGTCGCGACGGGTAGCCTCAGCGTGCAGCTGGCGGAGGCTGCGGCCGCAGACGCACTCGAGGCCCTCGAGACCGGTGTGCAGACTAGGCAATCTGCGTTGGCGAGGTCGCAGCTGCTGCGAGCGCAGCGGGCGGAGATTGAGACTGCGCTCGCCAATCTGCGCGAGCTCTGGCAGGAGAAGGAGCGCGACATGCTGCGCCTGCTCTCCAACCCGCAGGCTGCGTGGGGCACAGATGCCGT